AGAGGACAATCAGGCTGAGAACAAAAGGCACCTGCACAAAAAAGGCGGCCAGCCGTCATGTACCCCGGCCAGGGTGCGGCTGTTGGCTTCCCAGCTCATCTCCTCAATCCGGTCTGTCGATTGCTTACACTTGGCCCGGATAAGCTGAGCAAGCCACGCGCATTGGGCCTAACACGTCTCTCTTAGGCGCAGGTCATGGGGTACGTGATCCTCTTCGATGCAGCTTGTAGCTTTTGGCTGGACAGCTGCAGGGTGTGGGGCCGCGGCATGTTAAGGGCCCAGAGTATTGCATCCTACAAACCGTCTATTACACGTACGATCAGGCTGCCCATTCACCGGTTCTGGCTCTGCGGCTGGGGTACTTGCAGACGCTGTTCGTAGGCTGACGACGGCTTTGTTGTGACGCAAAGTAAACAGCAGGCTGAAGTCAGGCGTGCTAACGGCACGCGTTGATGATACGGACGACTGTGCCGTGTGCGCCACAAAATGAAATGCGGCTGCCGCGTCGAGCGGGGCTTGAAGGATGATTCGTACACCACCGCCACAGTCTTTCACCCTCGCTTATCGCTTGCCAGGTTTTACGGAAAATTACTGATGGTTAGCGCGGCATCATATCTCCACTTACATAAAGCAGGTTGTTGGTGGGTCGGTGGACGCATCGTGATGCCAAGTCAGGATGAATTCGTCGGCTTATGTTACCGTCTTGACCTCTTGGGCTATCATACAGATCGACTCTACTTACTCATAAACTTTGATGCCATGTTTAAGACACTCCCAAGGCCTCCAGAGCCGCCGCTGCTACCACCACCACTGCCTCCGCCCATCTGCGACTTCAAGTAGAACTTGAGAGCCATCTGTGCAGCCTGCGCAATGGCATCCTGCTTAGTAGCGCTCGGGTCCTACGCGTGTCAGTAACGATAACAGGTATGTTGAGCTTGTGACTTACAGTCTTGCCCTCGCTCTGTTGCTTGTCGAAAAGCTGGGCCGCCTGTCCCATGGCCATGCCGATGAACTTGTTCTGTCCGCCCTTGGCATCCTCGTTGCTGCTGTTGTTGAACATCTTCATGGCTTGCATAGCAGCAGCAGCTCCGACGTTGTTTGAGCTGGCTTGCTCGTTACCGCCGTGGCCACCGCTGCCGTAGAACTTCTCGTGCTGCTTGACAGCGTCGTCCTCGTCAACGTCCTCATCCTTGAGCTTATCCTTCTTGCCGGAAAGCATGCCGAGGACATTGCTGAAGAGGTCGTTGTCACCGCTGTTACCAGACTCGCTTGATGCGTGCTGGGCTGCGCCAGAAAAATCATCTGAGCTGCCGCCGTAGCCGCCACCTCCGCCGTAGGATGTGCCAGAAGATTGTTGGCCTTCATGGTGGCCGGATCCGCCGTAGCCTCCTGAGTTACCTCCACCATAGCTGCCACCTGATGGGCGGTCATTGTAGCTGTCACCTCCGGATGGGCGGTCGTTGTAATTGCTGCCTCCGGATGGACGATCGTTGTAGCTGCTGCCTCCAGACGGACGGTCATTGTAGTTGTCACCGCCACCTGAGTAGCCACCGCTTGGACGTGACTCCTGGCGGCTTTCGTGTCCATATCCTCCGCCACCCGAGTAACCTCCACTGGGGCGGTCACCGCCATATCCTCCTCCACCCTCTTGTCGTCGTCCACCGTGGTCTTCGCGTCTGTCATCACCTAGCGCAGGGCCACCGTAGCCGCCTTCCTGTGGTCTTCCATGTTCTTCTCTGCGCTCATCACCCCCACCGTAACCACCTGAGGAGCCGTAGCCACCTCCACCCCCACCCCTCCTCTCTTCGTCGCCAAGAGCAGGTCCTCCGAAGCCTCCCTCCTGGGGACGGCCGTATTCTTCGCGGCGTTCACCGCCACCGCCGTATCCGCCCTGTTCGTTTCCGCGGCGGTCGTCTCCCCGGCCACCGTAGCCAGACTCCTGGCCGTACTCGCGGCGATCGTCGTTGTAGGACATTTTGTAGGGTTGAGAGTCTATATACGTGTTAGCAACCGATGCGCCAAGCTGCACTACTCTGGAATTGACGATGTAACTATGAAGCGTAGCGTCGATGCTTGCCAGTCTGACGAACGTCCAGAACACTTCACCAGAAGCTTGCTCCGATGCTTAGGAGCAGCCAAGCTTCATTAGACCGAGGCGAGCATCCAAGCTCGCAGCTGATCAATGCCTATGAGAATGAAAAACTTACAATGTGTGGTGAGTAGAAGAGTGGCTGGGTTGAGTGTTGCCAAAGTGTGTATGCGTAGATGTGTGTTTAAGGGGATGTAGGCTTCAAGTGACAGACTGGCAGCTATAGCTCTGGGCCCCTCCCAGCATGAGATTGCCCCGCTAGTGACGTACACCACGCGGCAAGCTTCCCTGTCATGATTCGCGCTAGTGTTACAGTAACATCTGCGCTGTCTGGGCTCGCATGTCATGTCACGTCACGCGATTCATCGATTGGCGGTCAGGGTCTTTAGGGTACAATTGCAGTTCTACAAACATACTATAGTAGCCTCGGCGCAAAAATTGCACTACGGGAGCCAAGCGACGATTTGCAGCTATGAGCGGCCATACCGAATCCACCGACCGTCATGGTATTACACCGACCTTCAGTAGTCATCGCTTCTCCTGTTTGAGCTACCATATCCCGAGTTCCCGCGGTCGTTGGAGCCGTAGCTGTCTTCGTTCTTGCGTCCAGAGCTTCCGTACGAGTCATTGTCGTCACGGCCCGAAGAGCCTCCATACCCAGAAGAAGTGTTGCCGGAGCCATAGGAAGTTTCTTCAGAAGCTCCAAAGCCACCGGAGGACTTGTTGCTTGAGCCGTAGCTGTCGTTGTCCGTCTTGCGATTGGACGAGCCGTACGAGTCATCATCGTCCTTGCGGTTCGATGAGCCGTGGCTCGACTGGTTCTTGCTACCATATGAGTCGTTGTCATCGGTACGGTCCGAAGAACCGTAGCTGGATTGTTTGTTGCTGCCGTACGAGGAATCGTTGTTGTCGTTGTCGTTGCGGTCCGAAGAACCGAAGCTGGACTTCTTGTTGCTGCCGTACGAGTCTTCATCGTTGTCGTTACGGTTCGATGAGCCATAGCTCGATGATTTGTTCTCCGAACCGTAAGCGTCGCCATTGTCCTTACGGTCGGAGGAGCCATAGCTAGACTGCTTGTTGCTACCATAGGAGTCCTCTTCGTTGTCGTTGCGGTTCGAGGAGCCGTATCCAGAGGACTTGTTGCCAGACCCATAAGAGTCGTCGTTGCGGTCCGAAGAGCCGTAGCTGGACTTCTTCTCGGACCCGTAGGTATTGTCGTCATCATTCTTACGGTTGGAGGAACCGTACGAAGTGCTGTCGTTGTCATTCGACCCGTAGCTAGACTTCTTGTTGTCGTAGGACGAGTCCTGGTCGTTTCCATATCCGGAAGACTTCGAGCCGTACTCGTTGTCCTCACGGTTGCTGCTACCGTAGCCTGAGGTACGATCCTCGCGGTCGTTGTCGTTGTAAGACATGTTGATAGAGATGTGTTTGAGTGAAAGACTCTGAAGCGTTGGAGTGTTTGGTAGAGAAGTTGCTTGCTGTTTGCTGAACACTGACTATCGTGGCAGGCCTCTTCCTCTTTATATGCGTCCTCTCGAGGGCAGCCTACCCCTCTATCACCCCGCAATGCCGAAAGCAGGTTTGGTGTTGTTCATCCCGCCTATGCTGTATTACTATCGCTGTGACCCCTGTGAAGCTGAGCCGTACATTCGGACCGCTCTAGATCTCGGCAAAGTCCGGATGTGCCTTGGTTCAGCGGCAGCTCATCACCAAAACTGTCATGGTGAGTGATTGAGTCTTCATCGTGGCACCGCAAAGCCACCGCAAAGAAATGGTCCAGGAAGGATGTGAGAGTCTAATGTGGCCTGTTACAGCATAGAACGACCTCACCAACTCTCGTAGTATTACCGTGGATGCACCGAAGCTGAAATTGCGGTATTAATGCGGTGGCTGATCATGGTTACACTTTGTTCGGACACGTCTGGAGAGTTGGAGGGGTAGCTATCGAGTGGGCGTGGGCGAATAGAGCAAGTGCGATCGGACACGGGATGACCGAGGGGTGGGACATCGAGCACGCAAGCGACATGGGTCGCGAACTGGACCCCTACACAGCACAGCCACCTCAGCCACGCTTCCAGCCACGGTCTAACCCACAATTGATTAATGTATGTGCTAGAGAGATCCGTCCAGACAGTAAGTAGGTTCCATGTGACTGCGATTACGTGGTACGGTTTGCTTCCACTTGTCTTCGTTTGTGCGACCAACGCGTCCGTCTGGACTTGCACGATCACCAGCGTACGTGGCACCAGCAAAGGCTCTTGCTGAACCCATACTGTAATTTCGTTCACCCATCAACGTTTCCACTCATACTGCGTAGGCTGTTGATTGCCTCCATAGATATCTTGCTCTAGGTTCCAGGCTCATTGCTAGGAAGACTCTGTTCCAATCTACCAATCGCACGCTCAATCTTTTCTGCCATCGAATCTTGGGAGAGGTGTTTAGCAAACGTCAGCGGCGTCATGCCATCGTTTGTAACAGTAGTTAGATCAGCGCTCCAATCGATCAGAAGATCCAGTACGTCTTCATGATCATTTGCAATTGTCTCGATGGTTGGTGTCCAGTTGTCCCAAGTTCGTACGTTGATATCGCAACCGTACTCCTTGAGCTTTCGCACTATATCCAGATCTCCACCACGGCAGGCCCGATAGAACGGACTGGCTCCAGATGTTGAAGTTACATGCGGATTGGCCCCATGTTCCAACAGCAAGTCCAGTACGTCGAAGGCGCAAAACTCAGCCGCGAAATGTATCGGAGTCAAAGCTCTTGGAGAGTCCGGTTCGGAAGATGGCTGATCAGCGTTCGCGCCATGTTGTAGCAGATGTTTTGCCATGTACAGATTGTTCGCTTTGGCTGCTGCAGCTAGGCACGACAGGCCGTTTTCGAAGCTATAGTCCAGGCTCGGTAATTTCTAGATCAAATCTGTTGCAGTAGCGTTTAAGCCGAGCCAAATACATAGGCAGATGGGAGAATAATCGAAAAAGTCCGTGTCTGTGTACGTGGTCGCAAGCAGTTCCTGCCATCTCGTGTAGCAAGGTGGACCCTCCTCTGAATCAAAGAACAGATACACGAAAGGGATGGGGATATCTTTCGCAGACCAGTAGTCTTCTACAAGCGTCGCATGTCTGTACCAGTTGAACGCGGCATATACGCGGAACACGTATGTCTCACCGACATCCGGATCCAGACTTTCGTCCAGTGGCTTCCTGAACGCATCGAAAGTGAGATACCGTAGACACAAGCCAGTCATCCAAGCATGTGCCTCGTCCTTGTCGACGTAAAATTCGTTAGCTGGGCTTTGTCGAATCTCATCAGAGCTGAGATACTCTTGAAATGAGTAATGACAGAGCTTCACTACGCTGATCAGTCCGTTCAAGTCTTCGATGCGTACAAGAGCAGATACTGGTTCCAGGACATCGTACGGATCCGTAGCTACAGCGTCATGGTCCAAATCATGTTCCTCGGGTTCTATGGCCAAGACCTCTGCTAGCTGGCGAGCAGTCATGGGCGAAGCAGCAGCAACAAGACACCGGAACAACTTTTGTACCTCTTGAATCTTAGTTGGGTATCGCGCAGCGATATTGTGTAGAAGTATCTGGTACGTGTATCCAAGCCCATTTGGTAGTCTTTGTATCATGTGCTTGATTTCCTTATCCGACTTCGCTGCACAAATATAGTCGATCTGCAAACGTGCCTGTAGTATTCTAGACCATGTTAACTGTCTTTCTAAGAAGCCAAATCATGCTGCCTGAAACCTGCGCCCAGCTCACGTGGCTCAAGGGAAAAGGTAACTTACGTGCCTGCGCAGAGGGAAATATGCCGCTCTATGATAGGCAGAATGCTTTTGTTCCTCAATTTCAATATACCATTGGCTAGGCGCAATTGAAGTTCTTCTTTGATGTAGTGCTGGATGTCGGGACGCATGTTCTCTGCAAGAACGATGTGTGTCACACCAAGGTTTGGATATCGCCCTTGAGTGCGAGCATCGAATCGGCTCGTAAGAAGGGTTCTGATACGGCAGCCCGCGCTCTTTCCGGAGTTGTGTATTGTTGTGAGGCTTTGAGCTATAGCATCACCTTCAGTGGACTCATCAAGCGCGTCTACGATGACGAATACCTCTTTCAGGCATGCCGTTGCCGAACAGATCAGTGGTATGTACTCATCTTTAGGACAAGGACGACTGCCTTCCTTAGATTTTTCATTGTACAGCGCTCTGCCTGGTTCGAGAGACAATGGTGAAGCTTCCATCATCTGCCTCACGACGCTTGCAGCGAAGTTATCATGCGTCATTTTCGCACGATCACGATGATCGCAGAAAAAGTACAAGACCGCGGTGGTATCCGTACACATCTGTTGAATATGTCGAATAATAGAAGCACAAAGAAGCGTCTTCCCTGCTCCGGGAAGACCAGTAATCCACATGGTGCCAGAATCCGAGTCTTTCCAATTTTGAAACTCTTTGGAGTGCAAGAGCCATTCTCCGGTCCCAGGAATATGGCGATTCAATGCACTTGCAAGACTGACATGCGCACCATCGGATGGCGTTGAACAGACCCACGATATTACCTTCTGTGTTTCCTCACGACTCATCTGCGCACGCAGCTGCTCAGACATATCCTTCATCTCATTTAATATGAGGCCTTGTCCTAGTTCGATGCGCCGTATCGCGGATCTGTGGACCGTTTAGGCCAGATACTCATCAGGAAGCATGCATACTCACGCAGAGTTGGCCTCGATAGCATTCGCAAGTAATCCACGCATGTGATGAAGTCTCTGCAGAGCGTCTTTGGTCTCTTTCTCTTTGAACGGCCACATCAGTTTCCTTCCAAAGTTCTTTGCATCTTGACCATTGACCTGCTCGCATTTTGCCAGCGCCCGCTCGATCGACTTGAGCGTTGACTGACATTCTTCAAAGACACCAACCCGTTCAAGAGCCTGTAGCGCATCGTCTGCAGCTGCCTTGGGCGATGTATCTGCGATTTGCTGAATTTGCGCAAGAAGGCTGTTGACGGCCGCGGTTTCCGTCAGGAGACTCCGGATCTCGCTGGGCGCTCGCGCGACCTTCGATAGGAAGTTGTAGCCGCCAGCGAGTAGGGCACCACTCAGTTGGACAAGCTGAGCGACAGACGCAACTGTGCCAACAATCTCAGCCATGACATCTGGCCAACAATGAACGCACGTGGTTGATCGTTGTGAGTGCGCGCAGTGTAGGAGTCTAGGATGGTAGGCGCGTCAGAGCTGAAGTTCAACGCGAAGGCGGGGAGAACCCCAGCCACTTCCCTAACGGTCAACCTTCAACAATCAGCACTTCCATGGTTGCATCTGAAGAGCAGTGTTGCATTTGTAGTCGCTGCTTCACATGAGATCAAAAAAATAATGCATTACGTTCGTTCTGCACATCGACACATATCATCAGACATCCCTCCGCGACCCTTCAACAGGCCGCACCCCCTCCTCTGCCGCATTTCTCTTATCATACGCCTCCGCCAACCCCTTCAACTCTCCCAGATCCTCAATGAGTATGGTGACATTCTGTTTTGCCATCAGCAGAAGAGCATCGAGTTCCTTCTTCTTAAGAAGGCCCTGTGTTACTTTTCCAGTTGGCAGAGGCGGGGCGACATAGCCTTCTGGCTTACAGAATTCTAAAAGCCCGTCGTCTTGAACACTGGGAGTGGGAGTGCGCGAGAAGATGCATGCCAAAGGACTACGGTACATTTCGCGCCTTCTCTGGATATCGAGGAGTGTGCGCCAAACCTCCCATTCGCGCTCCCAGCATCCAGTCAGAACTTTGGTGCTGAAATCTGCGATGCGCTTTAGCTCTGTGATCTCGTCTTGTAAACTGCTGTTTTCTCGATCGAGTTCTCTGATCTGCAGGTGATTCTCTTCGAGCTGCGTGCTGAGCTGCGGAATGAGATCTTCTTCTAGGCCCCAGACGCGATCTTGCAGACCGTAGACAGCAGCATGTAACCTCTGCACAAGACGCACTACTATTGGAATATCTGACGCGGCATTACTGGGCGGCACAAGTGCAGGGAAGGGTGGCAGATGCGGAGGTGCCGAGTCCTGGACGACGTCGTAGTGGAGGGCGAGCTCGGAAGGTGTTAGTAGCGAACAGAGGAGGTTGAAGACGTGCTCTGGCACGTTGTCGGGAAGTGCAGGTGGGTAGTGGAGGGCAGCATTACCCGAGTCCCCACTAGAGCTTGATGGGGGATAGTAACCTGGATGTACACCATTCGTTAGTAGAGCTGGGCTCTCGTCACTGCCTCCTCGTAATGGCAAGTTGCGGGGCGTGGGGGATCGATAGAGAGTGCGGCTTGAACTTGAATCGCTGTGATGTCCAGAACTAACACCATTTGTCAACGGCTGCTGCTGTCCTCCAATCCCCCTAACATCTTCTAGTGACTGTGATGGAGGTGTCTCCTCAGCATAAATGCGATCATAGAACGCACTTCCAGCAATTGGGTAACTGAAGTTTGGAACAAGACCGGCGTCTGCCATTGTGATGGGGTGAGCGTCTCCATTCCTAGGTTCAACAGTGGTAGAGTTTTGACGCACTCTCTCTTGAATCCTTGTTCTCGTGGCCGGATCAACACCATCATTGCGAATGATTCTGTTAAGCGCTGTAAGCCACGTTAGTAATTCAAACTGCTCCGTCCGGTCCGATAAACCATTTGGTAATTCTGTAGGGAGTTCCGCTTGAGCTTGCGTATGTATAGAATCTGCTGGAGCAGGTGGAGGTGATGGATCTGTCCGCAATACCGCATCAACAGTAGTTTGAGGCGGAACTGTTCGATGCAATCGTGCTGCAGGGTTTGTCGTTGTCGGTAGGTTGTGTGCTGCATTTGACTCATCTATATTGGCCTGTTCACCATGGTCACCGAACTGACGATTATCTGAAGGGAAGTCCATGAAGCCATCCCACTCACGAGTGCCTGGCGTGATTGGCGCCCTCGGTGGAGAAGGTTGTCCTGGAGGAGAAGGCCGCCGCTCTGGGATCTGTGTTCGCCTTGCAGTAGGAGTCCTGCCGCTCCGCTCTTCCCATCGCCTGAGATTCTCCGCGTTTTGTGCGGAAGTCAGATACTCACTCGGTACAGGCCTTGGGTTCTGTGTTTGCCCAGCCACAGCAGACTTGTTGTTCTTCTCTTCCCACCTCCTCAGATTTTCTCTGTTCTGTGAGGCCGTCAAGTACTCACTTGGTACGGGTCTTGGAGGGAGCTTCTGCTCTGCTTGTGTTTTTGGACGCCGGATTGGAGTCCTATGCACCTCCTGCCGAAGCTCTCCACCTGGTGGACCAGCGTATATTGGTTCAACGTCCGAAGCTAGCATGATGCTGTTGAAGAAGAGCTGCTCTCGTGGGTATATATGGCCTCGGTACGGACCCCTATCGATGATCACCGGCAGTTCGTCGGGCGAGTCACCACTCCTGGGCCCAATACGTCCGTCATCGAGGTCATTCTCGATTTTGTCGAGAGCCCTTTGCCTCTCCTTCTGGCGTTGTGTTTCTAGCTGCCTCGGTGTAGGGGACGGCTCATGGATCGTGTAATAATGAGTAGGGCGTCGGAATGGGTGTTTGAGTCGCTGAAAGGATGGCATCGTCGTGGTTCTGATACTGGGAGTTAGGTGGCGGAGATACTGGACAGGAGATCAGAACATGAGTGTTCGATGGTGAGGATACATGCTGGGCTGTTTGGCAGTTCCATGTGCTCGGTTGTGACAAAGGGGCGTTTGTTCACGCGCTGGCTGAACATTCGCTTCAATGCAATCGCAGAGCGGTGCGTGGCCATGGTAACATATGGACACGTTGATCCTCGGCAAAGGTGATATCGATGGTTTGGAAGGGACAACACAGACAGAGCACAGTCCATGCGGTAACGTTGGAACGGAGTAGAGGGGTACCGTGATATGTTGGAGCCTGAAGGTATTATTGCCGACGGCGTTATAAATATACACTACTTGCATTGTAATCTCTTGCAGCGAGATGCTTACTGTGAAGCCATGATCGTTCTTCCGGGTATGCAAAAACCGTAAATGCGCCATGAAAAAAAGAAGAAACCGCTCCATGGCTATGCAACCGCGAGAATGCAGATGAAACGCCCCCATGCCGTGTGATCGTAAACCGTAACGCCGAAGAACCTCAAAACCTCTTCTTCGCCTTGGCAGCCATAGCCGCCAACTTCTTCTTACGTTCTTCTTTCTCACGCTTCAACCGATTTTCCTCCGCTAGTGCCTCCGCGTCTTCCTTCTTAGCAACCTTGAGTGCTATTTGTTCTTCTTCTTCTACGTCCCAGATACCGCCCTCCATATCAGAAGAAGCGTCCGAGGCATAGTCTTCTTCTTCGTCCTCCATCTCACTAAGCTCGTCCCAGTCTGCGTAACCGTCATATCGTCCTTTGCCTGGGTTCGGTTTGGCCTTGACGGCTGGTGTGCCGTTTCGACTAGACGTTGCAGGTGCGCTTGTTGGACGGGCGGTTCCCTTGTAGCCAACCTCAACAGGCTTCTTGGCAGGTCGTGCTGTGCCTTGATAACCAACTTCGACAGCCTTCTTCTTGTCTTTCGATGGATCGGCTTTCGGGTCTGTTGTTCTTGAGGGTAATCCAGCGACGGGCTTCTTGCCCTTTGCGCCGGCACTTGCTTCTGCCTTGAGTGCCAAGCGTTCTTTTCGTGTGAGGATCTTTGTTGGTTCATGCTTGATTGGTGGGGCGATAGGCTTCGTTGAGTCCTTCTCTTTCGCCTTCTGAAGCATAGCGAGATATCCTTTCTTGGGTGCGGCAGACGAGGCGGGTGTTGAGGTGGTGGCGGCGGGCGCAGGCTTGGGTGCAGGAGCTGCAGCCTTCGGTTTGGCAGCGGGTGCGTTTGACGACTGTAGAGGTTTTCGCACGGGGGGATTCGCCGGCTTTGAGGATGCGGGTGCAGCAGTGCCACGATACGGGACGGCGGTGGTAGATGCGGACGGAGCTGGTTTCGACGTGGCAGGCGATGAGGTGGCGCGCACGGCACCATTTGCCTGCGCTGATCCCCCGACAGCCTCTTTCCGCTGTATCTTGACCTGTGTACTCTCGACTGGACCTGAGGCCTTGCGCTTCAGCTGGGGGGTTTGCGAGGCGCTACTTGCCCCTCCGATCGGTCGCGGCGCTGGCCTAGGGGCTCCGGCGGGCGAGCCTTGCTTCGAAACCGTCGCCTGCGTCTTCGCGCCCGTACGGTCGATTATAGACATGATGTCTTTGAGAGACTAGATGATGCAGTCAGCATACGACTGCTGCCGGGGATGAGTCGCGGGACTCACACTCATGATGGGCAACTGATAAGCGTTTGACTCAGGCTACCGGTCGTCAAATCGATTGGAGGACAAGTTGTACATGCTTTCCAGGTGAGATTCGCCGGTGTCGATAGTCGGCGGTGACTGATCACGCGCGCGGGGAGGAGGATGGGCGCACGGGACCGGTCGTGGATTGAAGAGGGGAGCGGCCAGAGAATGAGCGGTCGGCGGCGGCGCAGACAAGTCGCTTTTATACATGGCTTTGCGCCTAGCCCGACGACACGTGACAAGGCGGGCGTTTTGCGCTAGTCGCATTGCGGCATAGCCCAGGTAGCGAGATCCCACCCGAAGTCAATATTCGCGGACCTCGAACTTTTCTTTTCTACGACAACCTACAGAAGAACTTGTAGCTTCAGTCTCCGGCCCCGACGGTACGCACCACTTTGGAATCGCAATCAGCAGCGCAATACTGACAAGCGTAGGTTAAATCGATTGAACTCCTGTTCCAGACAAACCACCCCAACAATCACAATGAAGCACCTCGCGGCATACCTCCTTCTCGGTCTCGGTGGAAACACCTCCCCCTCCGCTGCTGATGTCAAGGTAAGAGGGAATTGCTCAGTACAACTCGCTGTATCACGTCCTAACAACGCAACAGGCCGTCCTTGAGTCCGTCGGTATCGAGGCTGACTCCGACCGTCTCGACAAGCTGATCTCCGAGCTTGAGGGCAAGGACATCAACGAGCTCATCGCCTCCGGTTCCGAGAAGCTTGCTTCCGTTCCCTCTGGTGGTGCCGGTGGCGCTGCCGCTTCCGGTGGTGCTGCTGCCGCTGGCGGTGCCGCTGAGGCTGAGGCCGCTCCCGAGGCCGCCAAGGAGGAGGAGAAGGAGGAGTCTGACGACGACATGGGTTTCGGACTCTTCGACTAAGCGCGTCGCCAACCACCTCTTCACGATGTATGATCCAGCAAATCTCTCGACCATTACGAGAATCATGCGCAACGAGTTCGATTTGGGGAGTGTCGAGCGAGCACTACAAGGGATTTGGAGAAGGACACTGCGGCATTACTAGATTAATTGCCTGCTGAGATACCCGGAATGAAGCCATGCACCCTCAAACATTTATCAAGTGTACTAGTGTCGTGTGATACCCGACCAATCCCGCATGGTGACTGTGATTGTTTAATACAACCGTCTTTGACTAAAGTTGCGTTGTGTCCAAATAGACCAGGTCCCAGTTTGAGTCTAAGGCGCATTCTCACTTACTTTCGACATGTCATGTCAAATCTCGCGACTGGCGAACCGACAGTGAGATGTATTGGGATACCACAGCCACCATGAACGAGCATAACAGAGATGGTTATGATCTTGGGAAAGTATTGAAGTGATCTCGGATCGTCATCTAGACTTAGAGAAGAATAGTCGCGTGTGAACTCACTGCGTCATCAGGTATTTGAAGTCGTTGAACGCATCCTATGTAAGGCGAGGTTGATGTGGAGATTCTGTTGCGAGGTTCGCATAAAGCAGTTTCCAATTACAACCACGGAGCGATAATTCATCATCACAACTATGTTCACATCAATTTAGATGTTCTTGTTGGTGAATAGCATGATCGCAGCTGCCCGTCTGGACTGGCGCTAAGAGGTCTCGCTTAGCGCACGGGGCAGCTACACCTCCAGGGCTCTAATTTCAATATCGCCCATCGAGAACTGACGACCGACAACTACCCTCGCGACCCAACGAAGTTCTCCCATCACTTCGACAACCGCAAACATGGCTGACGCTGACTACGATCCCGAGGCCGCAGCTGGTACGCCCTTGCCCTCCGCACCAGACCTTCCCACACTCCCGCACCGCTCTCCCTGGATACGTAGACGCACAACGTGATGGACATGGCTAACGAACACAACAGCCCTTAAGGCCAAGAGGGCGTTCCGCAAGTTCTCTTACCGCGGCGTTGACCTCGACCAGTACGTCTTCCGATCCCCGCGACTCCTCGAACGCGCTGGAAATATACACAAGTGTGGCGGTATTCTGATCGATAAACAGGCTCCTCGACCTCGGCTCTGAGGAACTCCGCGACCTCGTCCACGCCCGTG